CAGAACCGCTCCACTGAAGACGCCATCTCCTCTGCTCTTTACCTGGGCCTAGCACACCTTCTGGAGAAGAACACCTTGGACTTCGGCTCAGCTTTCAACACCATCATCCCACAGCATCTGATAGTAAAACTGGGACAGCTGGGCTTCAATAAACTCCTCTGCAATTGGCTGCTAGACTTGCTGACAGACAGACCTCACTCAGTCCGGGTTGGACAGAACACCTGTGATGTCATCACCCTAAGCACAGGCTTCCATCAGGGCTGCATCCTGAGCCCCCTGCTGTTCACCCTGATGACATATGACAGTGTCCCCGGTTCACCACTAATCACATTGGGAAGTTTGCTGACGGTGTGGTGACATGGTGGGCCTCATCAGTGAAGACAACGACCAGAGATAACAGTCTGATCCTGAATGTGGAGAAGACGAAGGAGATCATCGTCAACTTCAGGAACAACCGGCCTAACCATGATCCCCTACTCATCAACAGCTAAGTAGATAGGAATTCAACCTACAGATGGCAAGAAAGGACAGCAGTGTTGCTAAGTCTGCTTATCATCAATTTAGCTTGTTCTTTTTCTGAATTGCTTGGAGATTTCATGAGTCAGAGGTTGCATATTTTTACACTTGTTTTAGAATGTTAAGTTGTTCATTCAGGCTTGGCTTTTATAAACTGTACAGATCCTTCATTATCTCACACCTCCCAAACTTCATTGTCATTTCCTGGTTATCATGTCCGACCGAGCTTGGCTGAACTCACACCAAACCCAGAGCTCATAGTGAAAGGGAAACAGTTGACAAGGCAGCGATAGAATGATGCATCCATGAGCGTCTGGGCGGACTCGTATAAGCCTCTGAGCAGACAGCTGCGTGCACTGCAACATTTTTAAGACCGGGTATACGTTGCCTCACCCCACTGATTGGTTGGAATGTACTTTGTACAAGTAATAAGTATTTATCATGAACTGTTTTATATGTGATACCAAGCTGACAAGGCTCCCCAGGCAATAACACACTGCTCAGAGCAGCCAGCAGCAGGGACCCTCGGGATCACAGAGTCTCTCATCTCCTCCCTTTCTGTGTGTGGTGGGAGACAGGCGTGCTCCATGACTGTGTGGAAAACGACGGCATTTGTCATGAAAAATGTAGAAATGCTCCACTATAAGGGCTGAAACATGTGCAAAGACGATATGGCACACAGGATGCACACAGCCCGGTCAAGTATGTGGGGGAAACTAAAGCTTCAGACAAGAATCTAATTTCTTTATTTCATTGTTCTCATTGTTCAAATTCTAAATTGTATCATGATCCAGATCATCACAAACATTTTATGGGTTTTAAATTTGGTTAAGCTACGGTACAAAAATCTTTCCACAACTTTTTCCCTCATCTCACGAGCCGTAAATACTAGTGTTGCACCAATACCTATAACATTTTGAGAGTCAAAAGTTTCAACTATTGTCACCCATTCCAGGAAGGCAATACAAATTTCTACTGAATTCACTTTGTATTAGTCTTTTTCCTGCTTCACAAAGGTAGGCAGCAGCTTGACAAAGCCATGATGGCAATTATTTTTGATCCAAGTAGGATGCAGTTCTTCCTATATACACACACACCTCAATTTCAAACAGGTGGTATCGGTATGGTATCAGTATCTGCTTAATCTCACTTCAAGTGTAGTATTAATAATGGTGAAAGCTGTCTTTTTTTGTAACTGATAATCTGATCGTGTCAAAACACTCTGAAAAATATTTATTTTGTTATTAGTGACAAACTATAGCTATGTCTAAAATCATCTAGTCATAGCTCCAGTTCGTTGTTCTATTCATAAGGTCCATAGGAAAACTTGATTGTGGGAAAGGAAGTCCTGAGTGCTGTGCTTCCTGTCAGCCTTTAGCCATCCGGAAGTCATTAGAACAATATAAACCGACATTGATGATATCAGGCACATCTGGGTATACAGTTTTACAAAAAAGGAATTGCAAGTAAAACAACTTACACAAACTTAGCCAACAGATGAAGCTCTCTATAACTCAAATCAAAGCATGAAGGTGTGTACATTAGCATGCATCATAGACAGAACATGCAAAGGAATTATGCTTGTTTGTTCATTTTCATGAGGTGAAATGTCGATAGGCATACATAACCTATAGACAAAAACAGACAGGCTCCTTCCCCCATCTCCCCTATTGCCAGCACCCTTGGGACAACACTGATGGTGAACACTGACACACCTTTGCTTTGGCTAAAGAGTACCAGCCATTTTGATTATTTTGGATGCAGCCTTTTCATTAATAGAAGTGCCTTAAATCTATAGGGGTTCCTCAGTGGAGTCTTAAGCTATCTGATAGAACACATTAAAATGTCAGGTTAGAGAATTTGTGTGTCTTGTCTTATAGCAAGAAAGTTAAAAAATACACTGAATGAATATACTGCAGCTTGACAAGTATGCTAAAAACAAGAGGATTTACCCAGAGCCATTAGCTGAAAACTGAACAAATAATGGAAGCTAATTGATAATATATATATTAGTTTTGTATGGCCAATTCTTGTTTCCTTAATAAGTCTGCTTTCCTAATTCATGAAGAAGAGCATAGAGCAATATCTTGATGTTCAAGGCTGAATTACAGCCGAGACCCAAGAGAGGAACCTAATTTAAGGACATTTAAAAAGCTATTTAGAGAGCAAAGGAACCATTGTTTAAGACCTTTCTAAAAGTTAAAAGAAAGTCTTAACTTTTTGGAAGCATAATGAAATTAGAGGGGGTGATTTAGAAGTTTTACAAAAGTGTGTACTTTCTGTAAAGCCTCAGTTGTTGTTGTGCAATAAGACTGCTGAAACAGATTAGTAGCACAATTCAAAATGCGAATCAAATTAAAGTAATGAATAATTAGTCCATGACACGAAACTAATGCAGTAATGTACACATTAATGAATCAATAATTGGACAGTTTAATGAGTTTTCTTTGCTTATCTGTGTAATAAAGCTGCTATATTAATGATATATACTACTTTTCAGTTTAGGGATATAAGACAAGCTATAGTACTGTAAGTGTTGTTAATTTGTAGTCGGGGTACTGGTGTAAGAAAACCATTGTGCTCAACTGGTTAGACTTCTTTTACTATACAAGCCACATAATAACGAAGCATTATTTTTTACCCCTCTATCCATGCACTTTTGGCCTTCTTTTTGTCAGCTGATTGGCAGTTTGCAGCAACAAATGAACAAGTGGTAGCAGAGGAATCTAATGCCTTAAGCACAGCTAAAAGAAAACTATACTGCTTTGAAAAAGCCACAACTTCAAACTTCTGTATGCTTTGATATTGGAAACCTGACTGTAGAGGTGAGTATTCCAGTTTTAGTAAGTAATAAGCCTGCAGAGATTAGTTCCAACCGTTTACACTTCCAGCTCCATTGCATACTCAGCAACTAATGTCTCAAATGCTATTCCTCAAGCTCCAATGTTATGCAGCTTTTAGATGCATCTGCTTCAACACACCTCACTCTGATAAAAGCTCATTAAGGGAGCTGTAAGCTTGAGTACTTGCTAATAAAGTGGTTTAGTCACTTAATTTAGGGGTGTAATATCAAGGGTGCACGTACAATTTGTGGCCAATTTAAGTTAAAGCCAATTGTATCATATTTGATACATGAGTTTTGAGACCTCTACATCATCAGTGTTATATTTTTATTCTTGAAAACCCAGTCTTACACAATAAGATGCATGTAGGGAGCAGAAAATATTTAAAAGATTATAGAGAAACACCTTATGTATCAAATTTGAATTAAATAAATTATCTAATTTAACTTATACAAAATGTCTTTTGTCATTTTTCAGAAAGTCCAATAACAACTCTAATAAAAAAAAATAATAATAATTCTGTAAATTATTTTGTGATCCAGGCTTTAAATGGTTATATTCCAGATCACTCAATTAAAGTCATCTAGTTGAGTGAAGGGGACAAAGAAAAAGTAGGCACAGGCTTTACTTTCTGACACAGATTTACCCAACTATGCCAAACAGTGTGTGACGGCTTCAAGTTTTAACTTAGCTTCAATTTTTTACTTGGGGTAAGCGCCCCGGTAGCATAGGTAACAGTTCTTAACCCTAGTTTAGATTAACAAAAAAACTACAACAGAATGATGGCCGAGGCTTCATGAAGCATATATGCAATTATGCATTAGACATTTCGGGAAAAAAAACATAACAAAATAAAATAAAGGGGTTACGAGTAAAACAACCAATTTCTGAATTCCTCTTGTGCATTAAGACTTCATTCATATGGTAAAGATTTTCCTTACCTTTTATGAAAACCACAGGTGAAAGGTTACTTCAATGGTAATCAACCTAAACCTTGACCTAAACTTTTCTATACGTAAATCGTGTAAATAATTCTCTTTCAATGACATTGCATCACTAACATATCATAATCTTATGACACATACTCACTAAATGTGTTTGGATAGGAGGGGTCCAATAAATGCCTCGCTTTAGGAGAACACATCATGTTTAGTGAGAACTAATTAAGTGTATGATCTCTGCTGATTGACTATCACACCTGTTGGATCCTTCATGTTGCGTCTCCACTCAGGGGTTTCAAGCACAATGTAGAAGGAGGATTCCTTATTGTACTCCTCCCGGTCTAAGATTCTAACGGTTATGGTCTTCCTGCATGAGACAACACAGGTACACACAAACACATACAGAGGAGGTGGTAAATGCATGCATGAAAAACAAAAATGACATGACAAAGTATGCAAATTAAAACATGTACAAAACAAATAACCAAAACTAGGTGGTGCATGTGGTGAGATGAGGTGACCCACAGCCTGCTGCATGCCCAAGGACACATCAGGAGGAGAGTAAAACAAAGGGTAAGATCATACAAAACTGAATCTCCTCCTGTGGAGCTCCATGGGTTAATTGCATGCAGTCACTGCAGTATGGCGGACACTCTGAAGCTTGCAATGGTCAGCTTTTAAAATTGGTCAGGAGGCTCACCCTCTTCTTGACCTTTGGCGTCATTGCTCTCCACGAGGCGAGGCTCCCCAATCTCAATGTAGAAGGTTTTGTTCTTCTCATACTCCTCGTCATCAATTATTTTCACCTTGATGATTTTACTGGGAGAAAAGGTAGGGGTAAGGAGAAGGTAGAGAAGAGAAGGAAAAGAAGGCAGAACGATGAGGACAGAAAAAGCCAGAAACTGGAAGAAGAAACAGAAAACAAGCAGCATTCCCTAGAGACTGTGTATGAAACAGCCTATTATTTAGGTGTTCTTTTATTTAATGTTGCCTCTTTCATCTATGATGCATTTAAATTGACTTAAATAGCATAACAAGATGGGTCTCGACCTCTGATCTATGCTCAGCAGACACCTTATTCAAGACGCTATTAAAGTTTAAAGTAGATAGCAATCCTCTTGGTTAAAAGACACATACCTTAAATGGTAAAGAGAAACAGAAGTTGTTTGGAAAATGCTGGCATTTGGGACATAAGCATCAATCAAATCCAATCCCTTGAGTTTTCAAAAATGGTACTTCAACATCCGACACCCATCAAGACAAAGAAGGCAGAATATATTAAGGCCAAATATGACCCCCATTTGTAGTTCTCTGAACCAAATGTATCCTTAATAATGATGTTGTTCCAAGCTAAGTCTGATGACCTAAACTCAGCTTTAGGTATAAAAAATGTTTCTAATAAACACAAGACCCTGGGATGAGGAAAACTGATCTGTTAAAGCCTCTATAAGGAAGGTACATTTTAAAACGGAACCAACTGCCCTCTCTAATTACTAACACATGTCTGTAAAAAGTCATAAGGAGTTCATAATGCTGATCAGCTCTATAAATTCCTCAAAGCTCAATATGACAGAGATCTGCCCCAATGCTGCAGGAAACCAGAGAATATTCTATCCATTTTGCTCTGCCTGCAAGAGCCATCTAACTTTAGCTGCTGCATGAAATCCTAAATATTTAAATTACCTCTCTATAAATCCATCTATATCAAGAAAATAGAGATTTGAATGATGTTTACTTGTTTTGGAACAGTATTCCAGGGAACCTAAACAAAGCCAAGACACAAGACCAAATCTAACATCCTTTCAAATATCTTTGAAAGCATACAAACTACTTTCTTAGATCTTTTCGTTGAATAAATATTGATCAGTTAGCAACCTTTTATCTAAAGCCTTGTTTTATTAGTAGAAGTGTTCTCCATTGATTCAGCTGCTTTTTTCCCCTCCTTTCTGTAGCCATGTGTCCATCTAACTGAAATGTGAATTTTAAGCAAACAGAAAAAAAAAAAGTAAATGCAAATTTGCCGTGTTTCCATTTGGGTTAAAGTGAATTAACCAAGCACACCAAAGTGTAATGTTGTCATACAGTACGTCCTTGCTCACCTGTAATAAACAGGAAGTTGAAGCTGCACTCTGGCGTGGACCATAGATCAGTAATAGAGGAAGGTTATAAAAAATGGGCTGCTATCGAGCAAGTTGTTCCTACGTTCAGATTTCAGCTAGTAATGGCAATGTTGCTTCCATCCATGTCTTCTCGAATAATAGAAACATCCAAGAAGATGCAGAGATCTGAAACAGCTGATCAGTCATGTGAGGTAAAAGTTCACTACACCAGCGCTGATTCGAAAAGTGTTTACATCTGGGGTTTTGTGCATCAAGCCTTTATTGATAAATCAAAAACTAAATCAAGCGAGTGTAAAAACTTTTATTGCAAATTTAGGGGAGTTTTTCTAATTTTGTCATTTTCATCAAGCTTTTCTGATGCGTACTTTAGAACAGCATTAGAAAGGGCTGAAGGAAATGAACCTAATGTTCAATTGAAATTACTTTTCTCTTAACAAGTATACAGATGACATTGTTCTATCACCCCCCTGCATAATACGAGTAGGGCCTAGTGCAGCCAGCATGCTATCAGTAGAGTTATGACAGCAGGCTCTGCTAAAAAAGGGTAAAGACAAAATAGCTTTGACTGGGTTGCAGGGAATGATCTACGTCGGATGCCTTTATTGCCTGTACATCAATAAGCAGGAAGGGGAATGAAGTGGTGCTGGTCTTGAATTTGAAATGCCTTTGAAAGGGCACAGATAATCAGCTCCTTGTTTACAGTAGCTTAATCTATGAAACAAGGGTTCACCAGACAATGCAGCAATATTTTCAAGTGTTAGTCAGTGTCCTCAGAGATTTTTCATATGTCAGAGATTTTGTCCTTTTCTTTTTTTTTTGGACCGGGTACTCAAATAGTTTAGGTGAAAAAGGTGTAGCAAAAAAGGAAACTCCACATCAAGGGCTTGATTGGTCACGCAACCCTGCATAATAATCCTGCTATTTAAAAAAAAAAAAAAAAGCTGTTATATGTAGACACACTGTAAATACTGTATATATCCCATGCACCTTTTTCGTCCTTCAGACCCTTCTTCTTCTTTAACTATTTGAGCTGATGTAACAAGTAAATTTCTCCACTGGGAGATAATGAATAAAGTCAATCAATCAACCAATCAATATTCATAAGATACAACACTGTAATATTTGTAGCAACTCCCCTAGTAAATGTACTTGTATATAATATTTGCTTTTGCCTTTGATTATTCTTCTAATTAATACTACTGCTGTAGCTTGGTTGCTTACCTTGTCTCAAATATTTATTTTTTTGGTAAATCTAACCGGATAATGAATATAATTAAATCTGAATAAAATCAAATTGATGGATGCATAATATCCTGTTTTTGAACAGATTTAAAATATTTTATCATATTTTTCCAAGAATACATCTGCCAAATCGGAAATTCAATTGTACCATTTGAGATAAACTTAAACTCAATTTCAATCTAGTCTGTCAGGAAGTAAACATGTTTATACGTAGAGTCAACAGGATTAACATTGAGGCCTTTCTGAGACTTGTAAGAATAAGAGCATTTTAAATATAGTTTTGAAGCCTAAAAGACAAACTAAGCATGAAAATGGGAAAGAGATTTTACATTATTAGCAATAACATTGGAAAGGATTTTAGGCCAAGATAAAGGAGTCACGTATCAATAATTGAGAATACATGAAAAATGCAATAACGACCTTAAAGTCGTTAAGACCTTAAAGATACGCAAGCTAAAATCAATACCTCTGCTTAATGCCATCAGTTTCACACATGAACATGATATCAAAACCTAGGATACACACTCATGACTTTGACCTACTAGTGCCCTTCATATATTTGATTTAATAAAAGCAATCAGCAAAAAACATGGCTAAGAGTTCTAATGATAAAGTACGAATGTGGAAACCAAGTACATTTCTCCAAGGGTCGTTGTCACAGGGTAAAAAATAAATAAAGTAAGAGTAGTTGAATCAATTAAACTTCTCATAGTGCACTGTGTGTATTGACGTGCATTCAGTATTGGAGCTGGCCTCGGTCATTCTTGACACTATTCATACTCCAGGTCATGGTTGTGTGGGGCGGTTTGCTCAGCGCGTGTGAATGTTAAGGAGAGCCTGCAGACAGTGGTGTTTATCTTGTGTTTTCAGTCTGGAACAAAAACCGTCACTCTGATCCAAATCCACCACAAGGCAATGATAAAGAAAGCAGAGAGGAAACTCATAATCCGGCCCTGAGGATAGGAAATGGGAACATGCACACCCTTAATGTGTATCATCTCTAATCACAGATCTGGACCTTGTGTTTGAACGGTCAGTGAGCAATGTTGCATAATCACCATTAAGATTGCATCCAAGCTCACACAATGTTTTACAAACTGTCAGCCTATTTAAACAAAACTGGAGGCATGCAAACATATTTTATACCGATAATGATGTTCTATATGGTGAGCAGACATTTCATTAAACTGAAACTTGTATGCACTACACTTCACTTGTTTTTCCAACATCACTCATAAGTGTTTATCCATCTAAATATATAGATCACATAATAATCATCTACATCATTTAAACACTGATTAGTTACTGCTGCAACATGCAAACACAAAAACATGCATTTAAAAGAGTTTTGCATGTTGCAATAAAGGACAGAGACGCCCAACTTTGTCCCACAGCTGCAGCAGATGGAGAACAGAATCAACCTTCTGCTGCAGAGATTTCATCGACCACTATGCTCTCAGTGGAAAACACAGTACATTTAAATCCTCTCCTGCCACAAGATGGAACCTCTGAGTAGGTAATCTCTTTGCTGATGAAATTGAGATTCTCAGAGCATGTCATTAGTGTGAAACTACTTCCATCGATGGCAAACATAACCACTGGTAGCTCCCAACCTGATGGTTGTTTAAAAACCTTTGAATTATATCCAAACCAAGAATATACATAATGATGGTTTCAGCAAAATAAACCCTTAATAAAAATGATTTCAGAGGTTGCTGCCTTTATTTTAGTAGGACAGACCTGAATAGGAATGAGAGCACAGAGCTCTTATATGACATGGAACAAAGAGGAATTTAAAAGAATGGTGGCCAGCATGAGAGTAAAGATTTGGGCCTTCAAAAGAAAATTCTTTCAATCAAATCTAGCCACATCATAAATGTTTTGTCTTTGAACCAAATTGTTCAGACGCTCTTTTGAAAGTTAGATTTTTCGAGATCTCTTCCCTATGTACTGGAATTGTATTTACACCCATTGCCAGGGTTGACAAAACAAAACACACCGATTCAGAAACAGGGCAGATACATAAAAAGTCATAGAGGTTTGCATTTATAACTTTCTACAGCTAGTAATTTGGAGTAAAAACCATTCATGACTGATAAAAAAAAATAAAATAAATAATAATAATAATAATAATACAGAACCTCCATTTATGCAAATGCACTTCAACCTACCATAGATGCATAAAGTTTATGCATTATTGGTATTTTTAAAATTTAAAAATTCAAAGCACTAGTATATGTAAAATAAATGCATGAGATGTACTAAAATATATATGTAATAGTGGACCAACTGATTTTTTATTTTTCAGTTACACCGTTTTTTATTCAGGTGAGCTCACTAGGAGAGCATCCTTGGTTACCAAAAGCATCATCGCTCCTGCAGACTCAGTCATTTTTTTCCTTCTAAGGTTTTTCTACTTCTATAGAAGTAGAAAAACACAGTGGGACACCCAGAGCT